CAGTCACAAACCCTCTTTAACCACTGCCCCAAACAGGATATCGAGGTCCTGCACCTGACTTAATCTGCAGCATCCAGCAAGGACAAGTGGAGCTCTGGGTCTGTGATGATGAGGACTGTGGGGAAATCTCAGGATCAGACGACCTGCTAGCAGGTGAGTTGTGGCTCTCCTCCCTACTCCCCTCTCAGTAATGTGCCATGCCTAGAGCCCCAGGGGATCCTGGAAAGTGCAGACTTGGCCTGTGCTACCATTCCAGGGTGCTGACCTCAAACACAGTATATTATGGTGTAATGTGTCCAGGCAGGTGTTATTCCCACTTCCTGAAATTCAGCAATGCGGAGACAAGTAACTGTTACTTTCTTCTCCCTGTAATGACAGATTTTAGGGGACAGTCAGGTTTGCTGTCTTGATTTTTCCGACTCAGATTTGGTTTCCCTGGGCTGCTACGGTGTTAAGTTTCCATTTTCGCTCAACAACGCAGTTCATTCCACAGCCCAGGGTAGCCATACCTCTGTTGCACCGTCACCCAGGGCATGGTGGGATTAGTAGTCCCCCATGGAAACCAGCATGGTATGCAGAAGCTTTGTGTGGCTGTTACTGTTGAGCAAGAAAAAAGCTGATGCTTGCCCTGGTTTCCCCAGGTCAGGTTGACCTGGAACCCAGGAAGTGTTTCATCATGGTCTCAGGCTGCATGAAATGGCTCCATGGCATGGGTGGGATTCAGAAGCTTTCAAGTTGTGGGTGGAAGTGAATCCCCCCATGTTTTGCACCAAAATTGCCACCTTTCAGTTTAATCTCTGGAGCCCTGAGTGTCATGAAGCCCAAAACTCAGCACCAAGTCCAGGTTCAGGTTCATGTCAAGGCCTTAGACCTGGTGCAGATTCCTGTGACATGGAGGCCTCCTGAGACCCGTCACTGGAGGAGCTCCATGGACTCATTCCCTGCACCAGACCTTGCTCTGGAAGCAGGCAGGAAGTATAGCCCTGCTCCTTTCAGAAGAAAGAGCAACAGCTGTAAATCCTCCCCTCCTCCTCAGGCTGTTAGAGCAAGGAGCTACTCAGGCACTGTCCTGACGCACATGTCCTGTACGTACTTCTGCTAGCAGGGTCTGAGGTAACAGGCCTGAGAGCTGGGCCAGGGACCCTGAGAGTCCAGCTCTGAACTCCACCGAGTAGGGAACATTAGCTCGGCACAGGGACCTGCCCCTCCCTCGCCCCCAGCACTTGGGGTTTTGGCAGGAAGACCTGTTTTCCAAGGTCCATCCCACCAGAAGGAATAGCAGTGTTTGCCCTTTGCTAGCAGGGTAGGGACTAATCTGGAGTTTCTCTTCCCCATGCAGGAGGGCCTGCAGACCTGGAGCCAGGACGGACTTCCCTAGGGAGTTTGGGCAAGATGGACTCCCTGAGACCTGAGAAGGAGCCATGGCACAAAAATCAGTGGAGGCCTCAAAAGCAGATGGAGAATGTAGCTGTGAACCAGGTACCATCTGCAGTGGGGTGTGAGAGTGGAGAAGGGCAGAACCCAGAAAAAGCCCTGGGTGCAGGGAACAGTTTCTGAAAGTGAGAGACCTAAAGAGTCACTTGAAAGATGCACTGCATCCCAACCAAAGCATTGGCCTTGGGGAAGCCCTCGGAGGGAAGCAGGAGCTCACTGCCAAACACAAGGGCAGAGCCCACCCCTGCCCAAGGGTCAGGAAAACCTTTAACTGCCCCTCACTCCTGGCTCTTCACAAGATAAGGCACACTGGGGAGAAGCCCCTCATTTTTGGTGAGGTGCATACATACGCCCCTCATTTTTGGTGAGGTGCATACATACGCCCCTCATTTTTGGTGAGGTGCATACATACGCCCCTCATTTTTGGTGAGGTGCATACATACGCCCCTCATTTTTGGTGAGGTGCATACATACGCCCCTCATTTTTGGTGAGGTGCATACATACGCCCCTCATTTTTGGTGAGGTGCATACATACGCCCCTCATTTTTGGTGAGGTGCATACATTTGGTGCATACGCACCAAATGTGGAAAGAGCTTCACCTGACTCTCCACCCTGGCTGTTCACCCCCAGATCCATTTTGGAGAGCTCCCCCACCACTTCACCAAATTGGGAAAGTGCTTTGTGCGCCCCTTGGACCTGGTCAAGCAGAGGGGAAAGCATCAGTACCTTTGTGTCAAGTATGGTAAGACCTTTACCCATTTCTTTTCCCTGGTTCAGCATCAGCACATCCACCTGGGGAGGAAGACACACCGCTGCACTGAGTGCAAGAAGAACTTCCTCTGCCAGCAAGACCTGTCCCAGCACCAGTGTGTGCAGACCGGGGAGCGGCCGCATCGCTGCACCAAGTGTGGTAAGAACTTCAGGCATTCCTCCAACCTGGTTAGGCACTGGTGCATGCACACAAGGGTTAAGCCACATCATTGGTCAAGGTGTGGGAAGAGCTTCAATCTGTCCTTGAACCTGACCAAACACCAGCTCATCCACACAGGGGAGAAGCCATATCAGTGCTCAGAGTGTGGGAAGTGCTTCAACCGATCCTCCCACTTGGCCCGGCACCACCTAATCCACACAGGGGAAAAGCCACATCAGTGCTCAGAGTGTGGGAAGAGCTTCACCCAATTCTCCAACCTGGCCCAGCACCAGCTTATCCACACAGGGGAGAAACCACATCAGTGCTTGGAGTGTGGGAAGAGCTTCATCTATTTCTCCTACCTGACCAAACACCGGCTCATCCACACGGGGGAAAAAACACACTGGTGCTCGGAGTGTGGGAAAAGCTTCACCCGATTCACCTACCTGGTCCAGCATCAGCGTATCCACACAGGGGAGAAACCACATAAATGCTCAGAGTGTGGGAAGAGCTTCGCTCGTTCCTCCATCCTTGCTCAGCACCAGCGTACCCACACAGGGGAGAAGCCACATCAGTGCTCAGAGTGTGGGAAGAGCTTCGCTCGTTCCTCCATCCTTGCTCAGCACCAGCGTACCCACACAGGGGAGAAGCCACATCAGTGCTCACAATGTGGGAAGAGCTTCACTCGTTCCTCTGGCCTGGCTCAACACCTGCTTATCCACACAGGGGAGAAGCCACATCAGTGCTTGCAGTGTGGGAAGAGCTTCATCCTGTCGTCTAACCTGACTAAACACCGACTCATTCACATGCTGGAGAAGCCATATCAGTGCTCGGAGTGTGGGAAGAGCTTCATCCTGTCGTCTAACCTGACTAAACACCGACTCATTCACATGCTGGAGAAGCCATATCAGTGCTCGGAGTGTGGGAAGAGCTTCGCCCGATCCTTCGACCTGTCCCGGCACCAGCTCATCCACACAGAGAAGAAACCACATCAGTGCTTAGGGTGTGGGAAGTGCTTCCTCCACTCCTCCAAACTGGCCCAGCACCAGTGCATCCCTATCCAGGAGTGTCCATAATTCTGCCAGCAATACAGGAAGGGCTTGGGGATGTATACCTGCTCAGCACCCGCCAGTGTCTACATACAGGGAAGCAGTCTCATGCAGGTGCAGTGTAGCCACAGTTCACCCTTCATTCAGCCTTTCTAGAGCAGTGAAAAACCCAAAGGACGTAGAAGCTGGCCTCCCAGGTTTGATGCGGGTGAGGGCTTAAAAGAAAACACCTCAGGCAATACACCCATGTCCTGCTGTGCAGCCAAGGACCCTGCCATTTTGAATGAGCCTTTGGCATGGGGAAGTAGAGTCTCTTTTCTGGGTTAAATGTGATAGTAGGGGTAAAGGAGGTGCAGCCTGTGACAGGTCCTGCCTCTTCTGTGGAAGGGTGGGGAAAGAAGGAAGGCACCCATCGTGTGGGTGAAATGCAGCACGTTGTAATCTCCCATTGGGAATTCTGAGGCTCCCTGCTGGTGCCGAAGCCATTTGGCTCCATGAGTGTCCTGTAGGAGCTACTCCAAGAGGTGAATAACTCATCTGACAGAAGAGGCCTTGGGGGTGATAATGGACTATAAGCTGAATATGAGCCAGCAGTGTGCCCTTTTTGCTAAGAAGGCTAACGGCATCCTGGGGTGCACTGGTCGGTGTGTTGCCTGTGGGTCAAGGGAAGTGATTCTTCCTTTCTGTTCAGCACTGGTGAGGCCACATCTGCAGTACTGTGTTCACTTTTGGGCCCTCCACTACAGAAAGGATGTGGACAAAGTGGAGAGAGTCCAGTGGAGGGCAACAAAATGGTGAGGGGGCTGGGGTGCATGACTTATGAGGAGAGGCTGAGGCAACTGGACTTATTTAGTCTAGAGACGAGAAGTCTGAGGGGGGATTTAGTAGCAGCCTTCAACTACCTGAAGTGGGGTACAAAAAAGGATGGTGCTAGACTGTTCTCAGTGGAGGCAGATGATGGAACAAGGAGCAACCGTCTGAAGTTGCAGGAAGGGAAGTTTAGGTTTAATATTTGGAAGAAATTTCTCACTCAGAGGGTAGTAAAACCCTGGAACAGATTCCCCAGAGACACGGTGGAATCTCCATCCTTGGATGTTTTCAAGACTCAGCAAGACCAAGCTTTGGTTGGGATGATCTAGTGGGGGGTGGGGCTGGTCCTGCTTTGAGCGGGGGGTTGGACTAGGTCAGGGGTGTCCAACCTTTTTGAATGTGGGGCCGGATCATGATTTTTTTATCACCCAGTGGGCCGGCGTGCCATATACAAAGACCTCACAAGAAGCGGTATCATATCACCCCCCCCAAAACAAAAGTACAGTGTTTACTTTTGTTTCCCGTCACAGCACCTTGGGCCTCAGAAAACAGCTTGGAGGGCTGCATGTTGGACAATCCTGGACTAAATGATCTGAGGTCCCTTCCAAACCTAATTTTCTA